TGCTGAACTTCCAGGCACAGTAATCTCTTACTAGCAGTTGGCATTGTTCCCCCATTTGGACAGTCTGTAAACAACTGAGAATAAACATGAAAACTACAGATGTTTTGCTAACAATCTTTTTTCTTAATTTCAATCCTTCAGAAGCAAGGAAGCAGAATCTGTGTTATAAATCATTACACCAGTATTACCTGCCTTCCTATCTAAGTGCTCATTCCACACTCAGCCCTCTGATTTTTTGGGGGTATTACCAAGCACCAGTGAAATCTAATGCTTAAAAACACAAAACAAGTTTTCCACATAGGCCCTACAATGTATTACATTTTGTAAAGAATCAAGGCTACTATTTGGAGAAAAAGCTTTATTATGCTTGGAATTTTGAGATTTTGTTTTTTCAAGGGTTCATAGATAGTTTTTCTGCTGCCCTTTCATGCTAACGCAGCTACAAATATTCCCTCTACTTCCTCATTTCAAACCATTATTCTTCTGCCTAATTCTTGCAGCTGGGATATCTTCTTTACTTTTCATTCTTTTCTGAGGAGCTCTATGGGATGAAGCAACAGGAGTCACCAAAGACTCAGGCCCACCCTGCTCTTATACTAGAGATAGGAATTTGATATAGCCTCACAGTTCTAATTAAAAAAAACCCAAACCACAAAAACTCCTTTCTTTAGAAAACAGGTGAGTAAGAATAATACTGTGGGGCCTTCTTTATATCTCAAAGATTGGTAGAAAAAAGGACACAAGCCCTGTTTTGTTCCTCATGTTGGAGTTTGCCTTTAATTTATAACATTTGATCTGAAAGCTGATACACACCAGAGCCACAGGAACAGCGGCTGAATGGTTGCAAGAGCTGAGATTCACATTTGGGAACACAAATCTCTCTCGCAGGAGCTTGCCATACACACTCCCCACAGCTGAAGGAGTATTTTTACATTTTGCTTGCTGACTTGTTCCGTAGCTGACAGATTAGGGACAGCTCAGAGTAGCAAAGTGACAGAGATACAGATGACTGGACTCCTGTAGGTCTCACAGGGATATGCCTCCCTTTAAAGAACTGTAAATGCTTCTAATCATTGCCCGACTGCATTAAGTCCACTTTAGATAAAGGCTTGATACAGATTTGAAAAATGAAATGATTTGGGGGCCATAGGGAACAAAGCAAGCAATCTTCAAACATCAGAAAACCTGTGGGATTCGCTTTGCAGTAATATGATAGATGGCTTGACTAGACATGCCGTTTCCTATTTTCTACTTTCATTTTTCAGACCAGATTGCACTAAACCACAAAACCATCGTGTGTCCTATGATCGATGTCATTGACCACAATCACTTTGGCTACGAGGCACAGGCGGGGGATGCCATGCGAGGAGCTTTTGACTGGGAAATGTACTACAAAAGAATACCGATTCCTCCAGAGCTCCAGAGAGCTGATCCCAGCGACCCCTTTGAGTAAGTAGCGATAAAGGGGAGAGTGGGAACATGAATCAGAACAAGCAAACAAGGTAACTGTAGCAGAAGAACCCAAGCCCAGAAATTTCCATGTAGGCCACGTCGTGCTAATGAAAGGTAGTAGAAGCAAACAGCTTCTATATAGGTTTATAAAACCCCCAAACTAGGAAAAAGATCAAGGCAGCAAGTTGCAGAATTCCAAGCTGTGCCTGGAAACACAAATCTTTCCAATTTTTCGTGGCCCAGTGGTTGTGCATAAAAGAAACAGGTACACACCTGTAGTTAAGAGAAAGTGTTGGCATTGGACAAGGAGTGAATGTGACTGCAGTTATTCTGTTTATTCCACAGAGCACTTCCTGAACAGACTTCAGTTTAATGTTTTCTTTGCTTGAGAACGATGCAATATGTGCATCAATAGCTGAGTCCACGTTCTGCCAGCAGATGCTTTGTTTATGACTGGTGATATTGCTACTGTATATGTATTGCTGTAACTTAAACACAGGGCTGTCAAACCTGAACAGCGTCGAGCTGATTTGTAAATCATTTTTGATAAGCCAGCCTCTGATCCCAGTATTGTATAGATCAGCTTATTCACAGGAATGATTTTCTACTCTTCACAAAGGTAGATCCTTTTTTCTTTTCTTTTCTTGTAATTATTCTCATGTAGGATCAGCTAGGATTAATCTGCACCAGCAGAGAGAGGACAGACAGACAGGCATGGTTCAATGTGGCAAAGTCTCCAGGTCTCTCACACAGCATGCATCCCAGCAGGGCTGGCAGCAGGACTGGCTCTGATGCTGTCAGCAGCCCTGGCTGAAACTCCATGCTGCAGGTTCTGGCAGTTTAAAAACTCAGCATTTTCCCCTCTCCAAAACTAAACCTGGAAACAATAGCAACAGAAAACCAGCATCTCTGTCCCAGACTCTGCACTGTTTTGAAGTAATGGATCTGATTCATGCAGAAATTGACCCTTATATCCAGGGAATGACCAGTTCTGTACAGGGAGAAGTAGGTAATTGCGGCATTCAGTGGGCTTATTTTCATTATTCTACTTGTTCCTTTTTACTTATTTCTATCTAGGCCCATCAGTCTTCATCTTGCATTGGTGTAAGTGCTGATGAAGTACTTTCCATCAGCTGCCAATGTGACCACTCCACGACACAGATGCAGCTCGTGCAATCACATAACACTCTGGAGTTGCTAGAGCCTCTGTTGCTCTTCCACAGGTCTTCCTGGTCCTCTGAGCAGTTGTAATGTCTTGCCATTTACTCAAAGTCGCCTAGCACATCATAGGATTTGGTTCAGCATTTAAAGTTTGTGTAGAAGTAAAACTTACATATTGCCAGTGTAGCTACAGGGTTGCTTATCAGCCATTTCGCACGTTTGTAGTGTGCACCTCAAAGACAAGAGAGGCCTGAAGAGGAGGTACTCATCGGAAACTTTCTAGAACAGATGAGGCTTTGTGGAGTACAGAACAGATGCGGCGGTTTTGCATGAACTGTTGTTACAATCGGCATGGCAGCAGTTGATACCAACCTTGCCCTGCCTGCATTTGTAAGACATGAAGATAAATGGCTTTACCAGGAACAACTTACAGGACAATGCAACCTATAAATCTCTTGTAATCTGAGTAGTCGTCTCCCCAGAAAGGTGGAAAGGCTTCCCAGTTCCTACACAAATCAGTAAGAGTCTTCCTTTGTTTTCCCCATCGCAGGATCTGCATCAGAGCAGTGCAGGTGGAAAAGCAGCACTGCACATGGAACCACCATGTCTGTCCCCACAAGTGGCAGCAGGATTGAAGGCTGGCTGCGCTAGGACAGTATCTTTGCTCAAAAGTACACTCTGCCTACAATGGCGAGGGCATAGAAGTGTTTTAAATAATCAGTATGAGTTTTGCTTGGGGAAGGACTTACTTTCTACTTCAAAGTCAGTACTGCTTTTCTCTTAGGGCCTTCTCTGTTGACACCTCAAGCTTTTAATACCTTGCTTACAAGAACGACGGTAAATGTTACAAACCATTTTAGGTATCAGTAACTTAATTGACCAAGACAGCTTCTATAGAATTAAAGAGACAGAACAGTTTTCCTTTAGTTGCATATACACTAAAACTAGAAGTGGCTTCAGCCAGCACCGTAATTATTATGTTACTATTTTGTAAGCAATAGGGATTTTTTTTTTATTTAGGTTAAATATTTTACTATTGGTATCTTAATAGCTTTATTTCTTGCCAGCAGCATCAGATCTCTGCTGATCCTTAATGAACTGGAAAATTGCCAGCATTTTTAGTAAAACACCAGCGAATAATGGGTACGTGATCCAAAAATCGCACTGATGAGTTTTTTCCCTCACTTAAAATGCCAGCTCAGTATGTGTGTTAAGCAGAAAAGGTCACATCAGTCTAAGAAATAATGTACATAAAACCAGATCAAACTACAGAAGACCTAAGAGCAGTCATTGTATTATCTGAATGATACGTTTGTTTTCCATCTGCACATGATCAAAATACTGCTGCAGCAGACATCAACAGAGTGTTTGCTGTTGACACAACAGACTGAAGCATTATGAGGTAGGCTTTTAGTGTGACAGTAGCATGGAGCTTACTGAGCTCCAATGCCAGCTGAGCTAGTGTTTCTGGAATAAATTTTTCCCCACTTTTTTTTTTTTTTTTTTTTTTTTTTTTAACTGTACTGCACTATGGTGGGTGTTTGACAGGCCCTCTCCTGTTGGACAATGTCTTTCTGGATGCAGTCTTTCCATTCAGAATCCCTCTTGTGAAGAATCTAGGCATTCTCATCCATTTGCCGTGTGAGCATGGGCATGTTTTATTGTTCATACACCTGCAGTGCTGCTCAGGCAGCATCTCCACCCTTTGCTGTGAAAGAACTTGGAGCTTCATTCCACATCTCAGCTTTTCCTGATGTACACCCAACACCCATTCTCAGGCCCTCTGCAGTTGTTCACAACAAGTAGCTTTACACCAAGATTTGGCTTGATGTTTATGACTTTAGGACTGTATAATGCTCTCAGAAGCTTCCGGCCTGCCCAGTGTCAAATTCAGGTACAGATGATGTACTAGCACCAACCGGGGAGTCACATGACAAATTTATAACTGCATTTGCATCAGGCTGCATTCATCTATAAAATTTATCATTTTGGTTCACATGTAGTTTGTCACTGGCCACGCCAAGTTTCCCATAGGTTTCACTGAACCAAACTATAGCCATATAAAATGTATTTTCAATCAAAGCTCCTATGTGAATTATTGGATATTGCTTTATGCTCATTGTAGTGTTTAGGAAGGTTTAACAACTATTCCATAAATGGATCTCGGGTAACCTTTAAGATTTGCTATTTTTCTGAAAGATCTGTGTTGCTGTTTTTCAGGATACATTGAACCCTTAGAGGCATGGAAATTGGACTTCACCCCTAATAATGTTGCCTTCCCATCCAGAGACTAAATCTGTGAACTCCTTGTTGATTTCCCTTTTTCATGTGCCACGGAAACAACAGAATTTTTATATTGCATTCAACTGATCTGTCACACTTGCAGCTCATCACAATTGGCTGTAGTGATTTTTCTCGTGCGATTCATGTATGTCTACCCCAATATATTCTGAAGGGGACTTCATGCTATTTTCCAGTGATGCATTCAGGATTGTGTAAACAAACACAGAGCAAATTGGTGTTCTGATGTATTGTGGGAAATCGTCAGACAATCGTGAAATCATCATCATGTCACGATGATGTTCACTCATGGAGTGAGGGTCAGTGATCATTCAGCAGAATTTGAGATGACTTGGGAAATTGTCTTCTAGTCTATAAGCAGGGAGGACCAGAGATGTTTACCTCCTTTGTGGCAAGGAATACTTTGGCTTATTATTTCTCACTGATTTGTTTCTCTGTCATGGCAGGGGTTTGGGAGCATGGCCTTATGGGATATGTGGGTTTGGGACATAAGAGCATGCTCTTGTGTGGCTGTTTGTTTCTGCGGTGCAAGCACTCTAGTCTCTGGAGGAGTTTGCCTAACCCAAGCAATTGCCACTTAAACTAATAGGATAACCGTGTTACTATAATGGACTGTGATATACAGCATGTCAGTTTATATGATTTAATAGCCTGTCTGGGCTAAAAGCTCTGTGGAAGTTTAAAGCAGAGGCTTGATATGCTCAAGCCTGCTGGGGATGACTGCTCTTTATTTCCTGGCAGCACTTACGTTACATCAATTCATGTTATCGCATGCCCAATCTGAAAACGGGCATCAGTGTCCATTCATGCCAGCAGCAATATATTTTTAACCAGACAAGAAAACATCAACAATTCAACTCAAATATCTTTTTGGAAAAAACACAAACTAATTGAGAAGATTAATATAGCACAGATCAGTTAGGATAGGAAAGGGCTGCACAGCTCCTCGGACCAGTTTTATGGTGGTGTAACTTTGTGATATAGGAGGGAGGGAAAGGTGTGGGTGAGTCCTACAGCATTGCTATTGAATTGCAACTCAAGATGGAAATCCTAACTGATGAGGGAAGTGTTGCGCTACTTACTGGATGCCAAGACTTCTAGCACCTCTCTGGGAAAGTTAGTAGTTTTTTGGTATATGGCCACTCCTTGCTCTCTGAGGGTTCCTTTCTATGACAGTCTGTTTGCCTTCTGCCTCTCCTGAAGGGAGACAAAGCTGGAGAATCATGTAATTCTAGCAAAGGACCAGAACAATAGTTTGGCAAATACTGGGCTAGCCGAGGAAGTAGAAGCAACTTTGTAACCTCTGGCAAGACATTCATTTTAGTTCTTGTATTCAGTTTCCCATTTATAAAAAAGGAATAGAATCACCCCACCATCGCAAGGCTGCTTTGGGTATGAGTCTGGCAAAGGTTATAGGATTGAGGTCTTACAGTAATAGGGGCCATTTATGGTTTATGGATGTACTTTTTTGTAACATTTTGGACATACTAAAGGGATGAAATTAGGTGATCAGTACAGTTTTCTCTTCCCTTGCA